AAGGTATTAGATTCAATGCTTCTGCAGTTAGCAGAATAAAATGGACACTCAGCAAACTGCTCTGATGCTATCTTTGCCACATCTCTTAAACATACTACTATTTTAGATAAGAAAATTTATGCTGGATACTCACAAAAGGCCAGTTAATGTTCATTTCTGACACAGTCCCATTAATAGTCATCCATACATCTTAGTCAGGAATATCATAAAATAAATTCAATGCAATGTCAGAATTTGATGGAATCTCGTTCTTTTTCTTTAAAATAACAACAAACTTCCTAAATGTCCTAAAATATATTTAGTGATTTATATAGCCTGCTTTTGGAAAAATCAAGATCACAATTGTCATTTTTACTTTCCCAGTCAAACTCCAAGTGTGAACAATTATGGATCTCCCATGCTGAGATTCTTTACCCAGTTGAGTTAAAAAATCATTTACTTGCTTTTATGGTGGTATGGACTGCATTCATTAAGGTTAATTTGGCCCATCTAACTTGGACAGACCACTTAATTAATCTAAAGAGAATGAAAAACAATCCGTGACATGGACTGTTGTAAGTTCTTTGCAAACAGCATTTAAAAACAAAAAAGAAAATGGTGAAGTTAAGCCTGGCAATCCTGTGCATTCAGGACTCCTGCTGTTTTCTGAGAGGACAAGGACATTCTGAATTCCCTCATTTCAGGGAGTCCTAGGAAAATGCTAGAGGAAGAATCTGAAAAGCACTCATCATATGTCTGGTAAGACACACTTTGAGAGATTACTTATTGGGCCAACCAACTAGGTGAAACCTTTAGAGCAATAAAACTGGAAATTGAAGGAGAATGCTGTTACAGTAAAGTCAACTTTATAAAACTACTGAAGGCAACAGAAACTTTGTCTTCCATTAGTCAAGGAAGCTCTCATGTGAAGAACTTTTCCTTTTATATAAAATAGATAGCTATGAAATTATGCAAATGATTGTAAAGCTCCTAAAGACATCTACCCAAGGCTGCAGCCCTAGGCAGCCTCGCAGCACGATGGCCTACTTCTGTCTGCCTGTCTTCAAATGTTTTCCTGGTCCAACAGTTTAGCAAACAGATACCAGCAACATGTTTTACCTGATTATTAAAGTCCTCAACTATAAATTTATAAGAGCATGGTAAGCAGTATAAGTCCATTCTACCTGCTACACTTTCTGTAAAAATGGGGAGAACTTGCAAAACGGTGACATTCAGATAAAACAGGTAGTCATGGACATTTTTGGAGTAATGCACATCCTACCAAGGGAATGGAGTTGGCCACGGAAAGCAAATAAGGTAAATGATAGGAGGACATCACACGGAAGGCTAGGAGACAATTTTGCAAGACACAATGACACAAGAAGCTGACATTGTATTTCTACTCTGACAACAATGAGGAATAAAACACACGTTAAAATGTGTTTTGTTCACACCAGAGGTCTGAACAATAAACTTCTGAATGCTGCTCTTTCCACCCAGGTTTTCACTGTGACAGGGCCAACAGCATTTCTGTGGGCAATGACTTAGGATGGAGGTTCAATTTTGCTAGAAACCAGAAAGCCTCTCATTCTGATACATTTTTTTTTCAGAGTTCTTCTGAGTACTAAAACAATTAAATTAAATTGCTGAAAGCAAAGTGAGCACTCGAATAGACTACTGGAATTTATCCCACAGCCCCTCAGGAAGTCCCAGGAGAGATTTAACTGGCTTATGTGTCACAGATACTACACACACACACACATACACACACACACACACGGTCATAGTTCATTATGTATACATTTCCATCATCCAATTTGAGAGTGCTTAGGCTACAATTAAAAATTTACCTGTGGAGATAAGCTGTAAAAGTCATCCTTATATTCTACCCTTTGACTGTAATCCAGCATTAAGGTTGCAAAAAGTACTATTGATTCTGGCCTACTTAACTAGTCTTGTAAATTGTATCTTTATGTTTGTGGAGTACAACAAATGCTTTCCTTGATATAGTATTTGTGACAACTGACATCATCCAATTTACCCATGTCAAGGTCCTTGTGGAGACAGGACTGATCAGCGTTAGCATTTCAGCTTTGGCTACCCTACTAGGTAGGCTCTAGAAAGGATGACCAATACAGTTTACCCTTGACTTACAAACTCAGTTCATTTGCGAGGGCTGGTTGTAACAAGTTGGTTTTAAGTCAAGACTATTTTTCCCTTAATAATGGAAATACCCATAATGTGTTCCAAACATTCCAAAGCACCCCTTAAATAACCTTTTCATGTAAAAAAGTTGTATAATATGTGTACTTTACTGGAAACACCAATAATTTTTCTAGTGTATTCACTAAAAAGTTATAAAATGTGCCCAGTTTACCAGAAACAGTAATTTCATATGTACTCACCATTCAAGTTGACATCTTTGGCTTGCAGGAAGGATGATGAAATGGAAGGTGGTTGTTTGGAAGGAGAGTCCCCTTCCATAAGAACATCAGGAATTTGGCTCTCTGGTGTCCTTCCTGTCCTGGAAGTCGAAGCCCACTAGGATCTACCTCTGGCTAAATCTCAAACCTTTTCAGAACTAAAAACTGGTCTGTTTTGTAGTATATAACATGACATTGTCATTAAGCAAGTGAATGCAATGGTTGTCTGGATGGGTCTTCTCTACAAATGTCTGTAGCTCTGTCCAGAAGACCTTTGCTGCACTGACTGTTGATACTCCTCCTCTTCAGAAAGCTCCTCATCTGCCATTCTCTGATGTTCAGCCAGAAGTTGCTAAAGCTTCTCTGTAGAAAACTCCTCTGAGTATTCATCCATTAATTCAACATCATCACTGTCTACCGGCAAGCCTATGGTCAGGGCTATAGTGGTCGTCAACCTTAGGGTCAATTGAAGGCTCAGGCTCCTCTACACAGCCTTCAAAGCCTCTCTCCTGTATAATTTTAGGCAGCACTTTCTTCCAGGCAGATGTGTCCTTAGAGTTATTGGCCCATGCTTTCTCAACCCCACACAGGAAAGGATGTTGTTAATGTTCCTTCCAGAACTCATTAAGGGGTAAATTTTATCTGGGACCATATGGAAACACTTCAGAAACAGTTCCTTGGTGTATAGCTTCTTAAAGTTAGCCATAATCTACTGGCCCATAGCTGCAGTACAGAACTTGTATTAGGTGGGAAGAACTCAAATGAAAGCCATAGGAATTCTTCAGCCAATTCTTCCGTATCTCATGGGTGAGCAGAAACACTGTCCATGATAAGAAGAGTCTTGAGTGGTAAACCTTTGTCCTCTTGATAGTTCTTAACAGTAAGACAGAAAGCCTCCCTGATCCACTCAAGAAAAAGTACTCCTGTTATGCAGGCTTTTGTGTTGGCCCTACATGACCTCTAGCTTATCCTTCATGTCTTTGTTTTCTGAAGACTCCAAGGGAGCCTCAGAGTGATAAACCAAGAAAGGTCACCACTAGCATTGGCACACAGCCTTTATAGACTGGTGGCATTTCCTTCTCTTCATAGGTAATGTATGCCCTCCTGGGCATTTTCTAGAAAAGCCATTTCATCACACTTGAAAAAGATGAGCAAAAGCCATTTCTCTATGTCTTTTTATAGTGGTGCATGTAATTTTCAGCAGCCCTTTTATCAGCACTGGCTGATTCACCATGCCTAGTTATGCTATGAGCTTGCTCTCACTTTAAAATTGCAAAGCCACCACTTATTAGCAGGAAATGTTTCACCATTGTCGCTCATTGCTGGATTATGCTTTATGAGAACTGCATTTAGTCCTTTTTCACTAGACTCAGGCTGTAAACTGCCATTTGCCTTTCATTTACCCATACTAACAATAGCCTATCTTATCTAGCACTGTTGATTGTGACTGAGTTTAGTAACACGTTTAGCAATACTAGCTTCCCTCTATAAATCTTTTCTCCCTAAGATTATCAAGATGGTGGATTTCACCATGCTGTGCATATTAGCGAGATTGGTCACATGAAAGCCATTCCCATATTTCTCCACAATTTCCTTTTTTATTGATTAGTTTCTTTACCTTCCCTTCCTTTCGTAGCTTATTTTCTAGCTTTTTGGAGGGCCATTTTGATAGCTATAGTCATAGCAATTATATAAAGCACTGATCAAAATCCCATCCACAAACACATATATTTAGGCTCACACTGATGCTTATGTATGTTTATATATACTTTTCTGGAACCATGAGTCTTTATTTACAATCAGACAAGTGGCTGGCATTCAGGTTGTAACTCAAAACTCTGGTTATAAAGTAAAACTAAAATTGTGGCCATAACCTAAGATTTTTATTTATTTATTTTTTTTGAGACAGGGTCTCACCATGTAGTTGAGAATGACCTAGAACTATGTAGCCCAGGCTGGGCTCGACTCACAGTGATCCTCTTGCCTCAGCCTCACGAGTGCTGGGATTACAGGCATGCACCACCATGCCCGCTAGGCCATAACCTGTAGTTCCTATGTGAGGTTGGTCATATCTGGAAGGTCAACCGTATTTAACGTTAACTCTTAAGGCAGGCATCACTGATCATTTGGCCTTCCTGAAGTCTATAGAATTATTAAAGGTTCAGTATTTTCCTTATTATTTATAGCTAGTACAAAGTACGCTGGAACAATTATCTAATGCAAATGAGATTTAGTTACAAAAAGTGCTCCTCATCTCAAGACAAAATCAGAACCCCCAAGAGGGCTCCACGGCTGCGAAATGAACTGCTTCTACCTGTTCAAAAGCAAGTCTCTACAGTCTGGGCTCCAGGGAAGCCAGTAGACCAGCACTTCACTTACAATAGTTGTGTTTTTCTATTTAAGTAAAAATCTCACTTTCTCCTTTTAAGGCTGTAAATTGTAAAACATTAAAAAAATGAATTTTAGGAAATGGTTTCTTTTATCCCAATAGATTATTATATCACAGTATCCATTTAATTTTGTTTTAGAACCACCTCTTTACAAAGAGTTACAAATCTTTAATAAAGTTAAATTTATAAACACTTTAAAGCAGCTTAAGACATGTGTAGTGAAAGGATGACGTATACAAATTAAAACCACTTTGTCAATATCCAAACTGCCAATTTTAGCAAATGTGATCTACTTAACTGGTTTATTAAATGTGGTAATTTTTCTAACAAAATTCAGCTAGGAAGAAGTGATATATTTAAATCCTTTACAAAAATGAAAGGTATAGTGCTGTGACTAAGGAGGGAACAGAATTCTTGGTTATATTATTGTAATGGCTTATCAGAGCTCACAGACTATGTGTGGTCTGAGCATATCAGGCAAACGTAATAGAAGGTGCACTGGGCTGACACACATTTTCATCATATAAATCTTCTGGTAGTTCCTCTTCATTTCCATCAGGAAAATATGTAGGGAATGGTAGATTTTTACTGAGTTCCTTATAGGCAGGCAGATTAGAATCTTTGATCTGAGGAGAAAAAACAAAAATGTTAATACATACTATCAATTAAAGTTTGTCATAATGAAAGATAACCTGTTCCTATTATTTTGTAACATGAATAATGCAACTACTACATATATAGAGGAAAAATAACTCAGCCAGTGCATTATTTTTAATTCCAAAAAATGATTAAATCAAATGAAATATCTTTCTTTAATAAATCAGCTACCTCATATAATTACTACTTTATATTTAATTATAAGTTAAACATGTCATTGTCTTAATAGGATAAATCCTATTTTAAAATTACTATACAAATATCAACTACATCCAGATTTACTTTTCAAATACCAAGATTTCATGCAAACTAGACCTAATAATTATCCATTTTATTATCTACCTGTATTGTCTATTTTATTTTCAATTTTTATAGCATAATTTCACTTTATTTAGTAAACAGAAATTAAATGAATAATTTAGTCAAAATAACTACAGAGCTGTTAGGAACTAAGTACAGGAAAAATGGGTCTATTTTAATGTTTCTCAAAATTCCAAGAAATACACTGCCCCCCAAAATATAACTTGTTTAATTTTTTCCAATTTACTAATCAGGTGAACCTTAACTAGGATGAAAACCAATAATCATACAACTTTCTGTAAATCTGATGTATAGAAATTGTTATGATTCAAACAGCTAATTCTCAGTGCTTTTATAGCACTTTTATAGATCTATATTTAAGGAATATTTCACTAATTGATAGTATATTCTAAGTGTAAATGCTATAGTTCTATAATCCATTGATTTGAAACATAAATGATAACATCTCATCTAAATATTTTCATCTTGGTTACTCTAAAAAGGAGGAGCCAAAATGTATGAAGAATGTATGGTGTGCATTTTCTGTGTTAATCTTAACCTTTATTATTTCCCTGCCATTACTAAGAGTCCCTCAATGATCTACTTGTTCTTTTTATATTTGTCTATCGACAACTCAGTTCAAATCCTTTAAAACTAGGCCAACTCTGAAAAGAAAACTTAAATTATGTATTAATATATAGGGGCAATAAAAAATGAATAGTATTTAATAAAGTAACTATGTTATGTGTAAATAATAGTTCTTTAGGTTCTCTTAACACATTCAGTGAATCTAAACAGCAACAACAAAAAAGCATTCATGCTACTTAAATAGGGTGATTTTTACTAACTTTAGAATCTTTTAAAGTTATTGCCAGCTCAAAATTTGAGGGAGTAAAAGATTCTGAGAAGTAAAGGGATGATAATGAAGCCACCTATCCACTAGGCAGGGGCTCAGTTCTCCTTGGCCAGAAGAGCTTATTCCCTGTAACCACCACTGGAAAGATGGAAACAATGGAGTAAACTGGTACACCAAGCTTTTGATATTTAAAACAAAAACCAAAGAACACTTCCCTAAACCCACATCTTAATATCTGGGACAGACATTTAAGATTATAAAAGATATCTATTTAGTCACCATATTTCAAAGACTTTGTTTTTTAATGTAAGTTCTTTCTGTTGAGGTATGTCTGTTGTTAATATATTTACCAGTTAAGTTCAAAGGAGACTAGATATTTCCCTAATGTTATGATTTCTCAGTATTTAAACTTCTCTTTTGGAATTTCCTTTATAGTACCTTCTAAATATTCTGTGACAGCAAACCATCATCAGTTAAGAGTGTGGATAGTTTCTGGAGGCAATGTTTTATTGAAGTGGATGCTCAAACTGCTAGCCACAAACCATTTACAATAGTTAAATAAGACTAGCATTGTATATAATATAGTTATTTAAGATAGTTCACTATTCATCCCTGTTGATACCAAAGATGTAGCTGAGAAGTCACAGCAGTGGTAAGGTTCAGACTGAAAGCCCAGAAGCTGCCATGCAGTTAAAAAAAAAAAAAAAAAAAAAACCAAAAAGCCAGGGATTTAGCTCAGTGGTCCTGCCATTTGCCTTGAAAGCTCAAGTGGCTGAGTTTGATCCCCAATACCCCCACCCCCCCAAAAAAAAAGCAGAAAAGGAGGATTTAACAAAATTTAACAATTCATCTTCTATCCAGTATAATTTTACTATGAAAAGTAATCCTTTTTTCTCTAGTATTATACTGTGATATTTATAACTGGTAGGTAATCTGGAATGTGGAACTATAGATACATTGAATTGTGATGCCTGAAATGTTATGGATAACTGAGTCATTAAGGATCGGAAACCACAAAAAGAATTTGTAAAACTTTATCAAATACATTTTTCTTTATGCAAAATAATCTAGTATAGAAATAAGTGTTTCAGAAAGGGAATTTTACAAGGTAACTCTTAATCCTTAAATTGAGAAAAATATGCCTTATTTAAGTAATGGAGTCTACTTTAAGAAATAAGAAGCTGGGTGGGCCTGTGGTGCAATCGCTCATGTGCCTATGTATTAGAACAAAAAAGAAGTTGGGTGCGATGGTACACACCTGTAACTCCACACTCTGGTTGGCTGAGGCAGGAGGATTGAAAGTTCAAGCCCAGACTGGGAAGCTTAGCAGGACCCTAATTCAAAATAGAAAAGGGCTGGAGACACGGTTCAGCGCAAAGGCCCTGGGTTCAATTCCCAGTACCACCAGAAGCAAAACAACACTCCCCTCACGACACCCAATTTTTAAAAATCAAAGGATTAAATCTTAATATATTTTTGTTGTACACACTGGGGAAAAATCAATGAAGAGTGTACTTCTGGGAATAGCTGGCATCACTTGTACTACAAATCTATTTTCAGAATGGAGGACTTGAAATTCCAAAGTGAAAGAATTTATATTATGTTGGCCTAAATCCCAAGCAGAATACTTACTCTGCATTTGAATGGAAATAAGTCTCTGAGAGCTTAAGACTTTTTCTTTAAATACATCTGTATTATTTTCTTTCTTTTTAAATTTTTCTAACATAAAAGCACATATTTTAAGAAAACACTGAAGAAAGTATAACCTGAGCAGTGCTAATACTAACAGTCACTCCCTAACATGTCTGCCTCCAGCCACCTTTATGAATAGACTAATTCCTATTTCACATATTTCTAGTTCTTTATCAAAGTAACTCTTGAGCTTCCTTTTTTTTTTGGTTAGTACCAGGGATTGAACTGAGAACTCTGTGCTTGCAAGGCAGGCAACAGCACCAAGGAGCTAAATCCCCAGCTCTCAAACTCTTGAAAAAAATGAAACTTTTTTTTTTAATGGAAGCTCAGAGATACATTGATTTTGTTTTTGTCAAAAGTTTAATCCTAATATTCTCTTTGTAGTCCTGAAGATTTTCTGCCTACTGGCTTTACCTCTTTCGCAGGTTCTCATTTTTAGAGACAGACTTAGGCTATTTTGTAGTGCATTTTTTCCATCCATGTGAAATGCAAAAAACTTCAGAAGAGAGTATGTGGGAAAAACACATTCCATATATATACAACAGAAAATAAAGAAAATAAATGCATACCTTTACTAAGCAATTTTTATGTCCAGGCACTGAGCCATTTACATAGATTATATTGTGTTTTGTGTTTATTCTCCAGACCTAAAACAGAAAGTGAGACCAATCTTTAAGAGTTAAAGCTTTGAGAATATACTTCTCTTACAACAAAGATTCCTGAAAGAATAGTATTATTATTCTAATATTACTGAGAGAAAATAGCTTGTAAAGTAACTATATTAGCACTATGAAATGTCAAATAATTACAAATTGTCAAATCTTCCTGGATGACTTATTATAAGATTATTACAGATATGTATAATCTTATTGAACTGGTAGAAAATTCTCATTTTAAATAGAAATGTAACATGATCAAGACTCTTTAAATATCCTAATGAGACTCTGCACCATTAAAAATTCAGCTTTGTTTTCAGTCAATACTAGCCTCCAGTAACTAAAAATTGAGAAGCCACAATTTACTGGATCTTCTAAAATAAATGAGCTGAAGAGACATTCCAGGGGGTCCACCTGAAGACCACCTGTTGTGGGACTTTTCAAACTCCATAATCATGTGAAATAATTCCCCTAATAAATATTTTCCTATATATTATGTATTTCCATGCATCCTCGCCCTCCTTTCTCTGGAGAACTCTATTATTATTATATAAAATTTGAGAATTTTTGCTTATCAAAATTTAAATATAAAATATATGCAGAGATAGGAAGAACATACATCAAAATGTAAGTAGTGATTATCTTTGTGTATTATTCCTATAGGTGGCTTTATTTTCTTTGTACTATGTTTTGAAACATATATGCAAACACACACAAACATCAATTGTTTAAATAAAAATGTAATTACATAGCACTCATTATAATGCAACTTTTATATATACTTCTCAAGTAAGTACTGATTTTTTTCTTTTTGGTATGGGGAATTGAACTGAGGACCTTACGTTTGCCAGGTAGGCATGGCACCGGAGCTACATCCCTGGCCCGATATCTTTTCTTTTCTCTTTATTGATATCCACCCAAACTTTAACGTATAATCCAAGATAACTTGGTATATAATATTCCATTTTCTTTGTGATTATGTAATAGCATAGCAACATGTATTTGTAGGGAGCTTCTGTTCACTTGTCATAAAAAGAGAGCATTATATCTAATGTTCTGAATCTTTTCTTCATATAATATTTTATGGAAATCTTCCAGGTCAAATAAAAATATATACTTTTAAATGACTGTATATCCTATTGTTTGGGTGTTAAGTGAATATACATTACTATTATTTACCATTATAACCACAACTGTCCCATACAACTCACACATCCTTTATCCCTTAAATCATAAAGCCTATCTGAACAACACACACACACAAATAAACATTAAATAGATGCTCTGATGCCTTGCATGTTCCTAAAAGAGACAAGTTTCAAACCTACTTTCAGTCCAAATGAGGTCCTATATCGGTTTCCCATTTTCCCAGGCATTTTAGTTCCAGGCCAGACTCTGGCAATGTCCTATGGGACAGAATTACAGTTAACGTTTTTCAGTGCTCTTAATTTCAAACAGTACTGATCAAATCATAAGGCAAATTAAAAACAGAAATTACTAAGTTCTATTTTCTCCTATCCTGCTAGGTCTAATAAAGAGCACATTTATTCTTAGAGGACTCTCTTTCTAAATTGGACAAAATAAATTAGACAAAATAAATACAGAGTAAGAAACAGATTTAGGAGGCAAATTCAGTAATGAGAACAATAACTGACCTAATACTAGTTATGAATAAAATAAAGGAAATATATGCATATCACACAATCATTTAAAGAAAACAGTGGGCTGTGTAGTCTGTTTTCAGCTAACCTTCTGTATTAAACTGACTTAACAGGCTTCACTCACAGGACTGGTGCTGGAACGGTTCTATTGATCTTTGTTTTTGATGTTACTCTCTTTAACCAAAATGTTTAAAGGACAGAATTAGTTATTTTAATATTGTTTGTTAAGCCCTGCTTGTTTGATTTATACAAATCAAACAACTTCACAAAGTCTCTGATTTTAGCTCTGATAAAGGACAATAAACCGTATCTAAAGAAGCACATATGAATTATATTTAAAATGGGAAATCTCCTTATGACATATAAATTTTAGAATATATAATGTCCCACCAGCTGCTCTCACACAAACAGCTCAAACTTCAAATGGCAGTGACTCATAACCAACACAGCTCAAATGACAATTGTGAGGATCTCTGCATCTATGTTCATTAAAGAAATTGGCCTACAATTTTTTTTTCAGCTTTAATTGAGTTTATTGGTACATTTTAGGGATACAGTACAGTTACATTCATTGTTGGGATCTTGTACCTCTACACAACAAGTCTTGATTCTCATTTTTTCCCCTTACCTCTGCTCTCCCTTCACCCCCTCCTCCCCTCCCCATCTACAAACACTTTATTTTCATCTTTTCATTCTCTCACATTTTTTTCTTTTCCCTTTTTACTCTTCCCATATCCATCCCACCTTCCCTACACCTTTAGCTCCTTTCTTCCCATTTCTAAATGTCAGTAATCTTATTAGGATCTTATGCATTGTTGCAGATTATTCACACCAGGGAAACTATTCGGTATTTACACATGTGTGATTTATTTATTTCACTTAGGAGTATATCTTCAATATGTATCCACTTTCCTATGAATGAATCTATTTTCTCGTTCTTTATGGCTGAGTAATATTCCATTTTATAGAAAAACCACATCTTCTTTATCCAGTTTGCAACGGATGGGCACATGGGCTGTTTCCAAGATTTAGCTATTACAAACTGTGCCACTATAAACATGGGTGCACATACTTCTCTGTGATATGATTCTTTTAGTTCTCTTGGAAGGCCTACAATTTTTTGGTTGAGTCCTTATCTGCTTTGGGAAACGACATAATGCTAGTCTCTGGAATAAATTTGGTAGTGCTTCCTCCTTTTCAATTTATTAAGAGTTTGAGGAGTACTAGCATTAGATCTCAAGTTCCTGTGGAATTCAGTAGTGAATTTATTGGGTCCTGGGCTTTTGGTAGTTTTTTTTTTTTAACCGCTATAATTTTATTGCTTGTTATTGGATTATTCAGGGTTTTTAAATCCTCTTGGTTCAGTTTTGGTAATTCATACGTATCAGGAATCCATGCATTTCTTCTGTGTCTGCCAATTTATCGCAGAATACTTTTTCAAAGTCATTACCAATAATCTGGATTTCATCGTGTCTGTTGTGATTTTACCTTTTTTTTTTTTTTTTTTTTTTTTTTTTTTTTTGGTACTGGGATCGAACTCGGGTCCTTGCGCTGACAAGGCAGCGGAATCCCTGAGCTAAATCCCCGTCTACCTTCATTTCTAATTGCAGTGATATGGGTCTTTTCTTTCCTTTTTGGGGTTAAGTTTGGCTAAGGGTTTGTCTATTTTGTTTGGTCTTCACAACTCTGATTTACTGATTCTTTGGAGTTTTTTTGTTTTGTTTTGTTAGCTTCAATTTGTCTAACTTCTGCTCTGATCTATTTAATTTCCTTCTTTGTATTAGCTTTGGATTTGGATTGTTCTTGTTTTTCTAGGAGCTTTTGGTGCACCAATAGGTTATTTATTTGGGCTTGCTCTGTTTTATTGATGTGAGCATTCACAGCTATAAGGTTCCCTCTTTGGTCTGCTTTCATTGTGTTCCGTAAGTTCTGATACATTGTATTAGCATTATCATTTGATTCAAGGAATGGGCAAATTTCTTCCTTGATTTCTTCTATGACCCACTGATAATTCAAGTGTATATTATTTCCATGTTTTTGCACAATTTTGTGGTTTCTTTTGTCACCGATTTCTAGTTTTATTGAGCTATGTTCTCGTGATATGTATGGGCAAAAGGAATGCAGCACATCATAAAAAAAAATCATACCAAATAGACTTCAACCCAGGGATGCAAGGATAATTCAACATATACAAATCAATAAGTGAAATACATCCCATAAACAGAAGCAAGGACAAAAACCACATGGTCATCTCAATAGACACAAAAAGCGTTTGACAATATGTAACATCCAGTTATAAAAAAAAAACTCAAAAAACAAAAACCTGAAAGAAAACAGGTATAGAAAGACCTTATCTCAATCTGATAAAAGCCACTTATGACAAACTGACAACATCATACTAAATGGGGAAAAACTGAAAGCTTTCCCTTTAAAATCAGGAACAAGACAAGATGTCCACTATCACCACTCTGATTCAAGATAGTTCTTGAAACATTAGAGCAGTAAGGCAAGAGAAATAAAAAGGATATGTATAGGAAAGGAAGAAGTCAAATTACTCTTGTTTGCAGATGATATGATCCTTTACATAGAAAACCCAAAAAATTTCAGCAAGAGACACTTAGAACAATCAAATGCAGCACTGTAGCGGGACACAAAATCGACATACAAAAGTCAATTGTCCCTATGTAAAGTACCAATAATGAACTTACTGAGAAAGGAATTATGAAAACAATACTACACACAACAGCATCAAGCAAAATGAAACGCTCAGGCATTAACCTAACCGAAGTGAAAGACCTCTACAATGAAAATCACGATACCCTAGAAAAGGAGATTGAAGAGGACATCAGAAAACTAAGATATGCCTGGATAGGCAGAACAAATATTGTCAAAATGGCCATACTTCCAAAACTGATGTTCAACATCTCTAGAAAAATGCAAATTAAACTGAGATTACAGCTTTACTCCACAAAGAATGGCCATCATCAAGAAATCAAGTAGTAACAAATGGACAAAGCTGTGGAGTAAAGGAACCCCTCTACAATGTTGGTGGGAATATAAACTAATGCAACCACTACTGAAATCAGTATGGAAATTCCTCCAAAAAACTTAAAAGAGAAATTTCATTCAATCTAGTTACTCCTCTTCTTGATATTTTCCTGAAAGATTAAAAAATACCATACTCTAAAGATATATGCATACACACATTTATAGCAGCACAATTCACAACAGCTAAATCTTCAAAGTAGCTTATATGACCATGAACAGATGAATAGATAAAGTGAATGTGAGATTTATACACAGTGGAGAACTACTCTGTAGTAAGGATAAACTTTAATCATCTGTAGAAAAATAAAAAGTTAAGTGAAAGAAATCAGACACTCAAGCTTAAATATCACATGGTTTCACTTATACAAGAAACCCAAAATATAAAGCGCAAAAGAGAGATAATGAGGGGGGGAGGGAGAGGAACAGGAAGAAAGGGGGGGAGGGGACTCTTTTGGAAAAGGGAAGGGGACCAAGAGAGGGATGGGAAGGAGATGAAAAGAGGAATTAAGATGTGTTATAGGGCCAGGGATTTAGCTCAGCGGTTCGGCAGCCTGCCTCGGAAGCGCAAGGACCCGAGTTCGATCCCCTGTACCACACATAAAAAAAAAATAACAACAACAACAACTACAAAAAGATGTGTTACATACATGTACCAACTCCTTACGAGGAATGTAATCATTAAGTACTGCAAACATGTACCAATAAGAAAATGTAGTAAAAAAGACAAGTATGAGTATTCCAGACTACCTATTCACTCTCTGTATATATGCTGTGATAACATTACTAAATAAAGACTAATTTAGCTTCTCTAGTCCAATTTACACTCTCAATTCTCAGGAAAATAAAGGCTTTTACTACCTAATCAATGCTTAATGAAAGTATATACACAAAAACAGAACAGCATATATCATGACAAATAACCAATGTCAATCATAAGAATAGAGTCCTTTATAACCCTAATTTTAAAACAAGCTTTACTGAGATATAATTCACACACAGCGTTTTTCACCCCATTAAAGTTTACTATTAGCTTTTTTAGTATATTTAAGTTGTGCATTACAACAATTTCAGAACAATTTCACCCCAAATAGAAATTCCACGCCCATTAGTGGCCACTCTCAGGCTCCACAGCCCTGTGCAATCACTAATTTAACACTGTCTCCATAGATTTGCCTTGGATAGACATTTCATATGAATCGAATCCTGGAATATGTATTCTGGCTGCTTTCACGTAACATCATATTTTTGAGGTTCATTCATGTTGCAGAGATTTCAATTCCTCATTCCATTTTATTGGTAAATATTCTCTTATATGAATACAGGAATTTCAGCTATGCATTTAAGTGGTAAACATGTGGTTGTTTCTACTCTTTGGCTCTTATGAATAATGTTGCTATGAACATTCACTTATAAATTTTGGTGTGCATATTTTCACTTCTGGATTTATCCTAGGAGCAAAATTACTGGGTCACACAGTAATTTTTACATTTAACTTTTCTTAGCAACTGCATCATTTTGCCAACATTTGTCACCACAGGCCTTATTTTTTATTTTTATTTTTTTGAAGCAAAACATCTACTGGTACATTTTAAATACACATGATAACACTCATCATAGGGAATTTGTACTTATACATGATACATTCTGTCTTTTTTCCCATTCCTCCTTCAAACCACTATATACAAAAGCTGTTTCCA